AAATAATAGCATTATAATATAGTCTTAGTATTAGCATTATACACAGTAAATAGAAATAATTAAATTACAATAGTATTTTTTTTTTTTTATCACCATAGTGATGTATCGCTACTTCCTGAAACTTAATTGTCGCGTAGAGTGTATGGATGGGAAAATTTTTTACATATTTCTTATATATTCTTATTTAAGATTTGTTGCAATAGATAATAATAAGAAATTGTCATTAATCATTAACCTGGTTTTTTGATCACTATTATGACATATCAACCACGTTGGCACGGTCCTTAAGTTCGTTACTCAACTTTATCAAGTGATCGATTACTCTTAAAGATTATGTGATAATATGTAATAATTTACAAAATATGTAAGGATTAAAAAATACATATCGATTACATAAAAAATTACATTACCCATCCCTAGTAGAGTGCTGCCGAGGTTCCACTTGTAATAAGTAATGTATATTATTAATCATAAGTGGTGCTTGAATATTGGAATCCGACATCATGTGACGTCACAATTAAGCTTTGGTTTTGGAATTTTAACTTTGGGGTTTTTTTTAACATAAACCTGGGATAGCGATACATCGTTATAGCGGTAAATTGCAAAGCTCTTAATAAAAATCATTTATTTAATTTCTAAAAATCTACAAAATTTAAATAAAAAAAAATTTTAATAAATTTAATTAAACAATATCTATTAAATAAAAATCCCAATTTTCTTAATATTTTAAACAAAAATTATTTATTTAAATTTTATAAATTTATGTAAAATTTAAATAAAAAAAAATTCATCAAGTCTGATTAGATGGAGATATCATTGATCAAAGTTTTTAAAAAGTTAAACATATATCAAAAATAATAGCCACCATAGCAAAAATTTTTTACTTTAATCAAAGGCATCTTAATGGTGACTTAACTAAATTTGATAATATTTATTTTATTTGTAAAATTTATATTAAAAATTCATCGAATTTGGTCAGGTAGTTGTTGAGATATTATTAATTAATTCGTGGTCCGCCTATGAACCAGTGACAACACATAGTAAAAAATGGGGATATTTACTATTGTCTTTGGAATCTGGAGTTTCCCAAAGAAAAAGGTTTTTCTTTACTAAGTAAACCTCTTTTCGACACCTAAGTAAAGTTGTAGAGGAGTGTCTTGCGATTAGAATGGCGGTTAAAACGTTAAAATCGGCTTAGTGGAACGCGAGATATGAGCATTTTAGTCTTCGCGACTATATGTTTATTCTTTATATAAATAAAGAAGAAAATATATAGTCGCGAAGACTAAAATGCTCATATCTCGCGTTCCACTGAGCCGATTTTAACGTTTTAACCGCATTTAGTGAATAAGTTCGGCTTCGAAACCTGTATTGAAATAAGCATGTAAAAACTACAAAAGCGATACCTTTTCGCTTCAATAAAGATAACTCTAAGAGTTCAGCATTGTAAAGGTGTTTGTTCTAATCCCCTCGATAAGTCAAATTCGTATAAAGAAAGGATTAGTAGGTTAATCCCGTAATCCCGAATTAGAGCCTCGTGATGTAATATAGAGCTCTTATCCGGCAAGTACTATGTAAACACTGACAAAAAATTTCACATTATTTCCGCAAATTTTATTAAAATCATGTGACAAATTATTAATTTTAATATCGTTATAAGAATCTGCGGTAATAATATAAAATCCTTTCTGTAAGTGTAACGTCATATCTGCCAGATAAACTAGTTATCTGGAATGATATACGCACATCGACAGTATAATTGCAACGTACGAGGCTTTCGGCCACGTGCTTTTGCTATTATCCTGCCGATAACGTACCCATGTATACGTCAAATCATGCCAGATAACATCAATTATTAAATATTGTATTAAACTTATTAAACTATCACGTTAATTTATTTAAGCTGTTACACACAACCTTCTTACTATGTAAGCAAGCGAGAAAAAAAAAATCATATTGCAAATTTGATAAGCTCAACCGTAAAGGTAAATAAATAGCACTATTGAATTATGTGCTAATTTATATTGTATAGTTTGTAATATTTATGCTCGGTGAGAATAACCCATTTAGCTCAAGGTTATTTCGTGATAGCAGTCGTGCCAGTGTTGATTTCCTTTGATTTACCTTGATCAGAAGACGATGATGATGAGGATGTTGAGGATGAAGACGATGATGAGGATGACGACGATGATGATGAAGATGAGTCAGATTCATCACTAGATTCATCGCTTGATTCACTGGAGGATTCTTCACCTTCTTGGGTTGTTTCCTTTTTATGCGCAATATTGGATGTGTTATTTCCTAATTTTTCTGTTTCATCTGTCTCTGAAGAGTCCGATTCTGTGCTATCCTCACTATCATCACAGCCCTCTTTTTCTATCGTATTTGCATTCAACTTTCCATAAACCTCCATCATTAATCGCTCAACTTCCTTTAAATCATCTTTTTCCAATTTCATTATAATTCTTTCCGTTATCGTCCTATTATCAGCGTTTGACAAACAATTCACCAAAAATTTTAAAATAGCTAATCTAGTTTGAACCAAATTTAACCATTTGCTAACCATCAATCCAACTTCCCAAATATTGTCACCAGATTTCCATGATTTTGGAAGAATTTTTAACAAACAATCTGTTAATTTTGTTAACTCAGGCGCACCAAATTTTTTTGCCAGGTATGCAATTGCAAACAATTCATCAGTCGTTCTTTGCTGAATTGGCCACCCGTAACTAAGAAATCAAAATAATGAAAATTATCATTCTAATGGAAAAGGTCATTTAGATGAAACTATAAGAATTAAATAAAAAAAAAACCCACCAATATGCATAAAAAGGAAACAACCGAAGAATGTGAAGAATGCTCCATTGAATCTAGCGATGAATCTACTGATGAATCTGAC